CATGCCTTATCCCGGTGAGCGTGATGGAGGCGCAGAGCCCTCGGTTCACGCATGCACCTCCTTCCCTCCCCCTTAGCAAAGCGCTTTCCTCCAGCCAGGCCATGGGCCAGGGCGGGAACAGGGCAGGAAGGGCACCACTCACCTCCCGCAGGGACACGGCCCGTGGGCACATTCCACCTTTATCTTCCCAAACTCCTCCGCTGCCAGTGGTTCCCAGAAGCTGCGTCTCTGGCACAGGCATTCCTCTCTCTGCTGTAGGAAACCATGGTTTGGCATCTTGGGAGGGTGTCCAGGGGCACAGGTGCTCCCTGGGGAGCCGCCCTGCCCGCTGCCAACAGAGCTGGCCCTGAGACACTTCCGTTGCTGCCCTCCCAAGCCCCACTAAGTGCCTGTCACCAGAACTCGATTCCTTCTGCATCTCCTGCCGTGTTTGGTCATTCCTCGCTGCCTCCACTCAAGGAGCAGCTTGTAGTTGCAGCATATGTAAGTGTTTGCAGGGTGAGGGAGGGCGGGGGGAAAAGGGGCCATCTCAACAGGTTTTGTTCCTAAATGTTTTTGGTTTCTTTTGTTTCGTTGTTTATTTGGGGGTTTTTTGGTTTTTTTAAGTGAATGTATTTGATCGTTTAGAAACTTTCCTGACCTTGTTTTTAAGTGGGTCGGTTTGAAAGCTGTTTCATGGTGACCCACTACAGCTTCTCTCCGGAGATACGGTGTTCTTTTAATCCTACAATGATGTGTTTGTAGGGGAGGACTGTCCCCCCACGGCATGCTGGTAATGCTCACTTGTACCAAGCCCTCTTGCACTATAATCGTACGTTGGACTCTTCAAAAAAAGGGCAAAGATGTGGGGTGGCTTTTTAACAAAAAAAAAGTAAAAAAAAAAAAAAGAAAAGAAAAGAAAGCAGGTTATCAGCAAGTCCTGTGCTTGAGGGAACCGCTGTCCCCAGGGAGCTCGGAGGTGACAAGGAGACACAGCCAGACTGAGCCAGCCATGCTGTGGTAGGATGTAGGGCATTAACCCGGGCAATCCCTCCTCTCCTTGCTGGGAGCAGTTGGCAGCCGGGAGACCCCAGGCAAGGGGAGGGCTCCTGGGGGCTCCTGGCGCAGGTGCCTCTGACACGGCTCCCGGCCCTCCAACGTTGCGATGCAGTCTTCTGAGGTATCAAGTGAGATTTTTTTTTTTTTTTCCAATAAAACATTGCACTGCTGCATTGTTCTCCATGAATAGAAGTATTTATTACCTCAGCCTGACTATGGCACTTGTGTTTTGTCTTCCTTCGGCTCTACTGGGCGCTTGTGTCACCCTCTGCTCTCCTTGGAGGGGACAGTGCATGGGTGGGACTTTGTGGGACCTTCTCAACACTTTGTGCTTTACAGCTGTGGGTGGTTCAGCCCGATGGAGCTCAGCCAAGGCATGGTGGTACTGATTTCCTTTTTCCCTGGGCACAGCACTTCAGACATCCTGGAATGCAGGATGCCTTGTCCTGAGGCAGAAGGGACCACGGGGAGACCTTGGCAGGGCTGTGGAGAGTGAGAGAAGGCCTAATTCCTCTTAAATACCTGGAGAGGCCAGGCTGGAAGCACACAGGATTTTCTGTGGTGTTGCAGATGCTTAGCACCATCACTGATGGTGTCACTGCCCATGGCAGGGGTTTGACTTTGAACCCAAACTGGTCTGTGATTGCAAATTCTGGAGTTAGTTGAACATGTGGGAATTAGGTTTTCATCAGGTCTGGGTCAGTGTCAATCCCCAAAAAAATAAATCTCTAAGGTGGAGATGTGGGTTCCAAGGGTCAGGGAGGGAACCTTTGAGGTTCATCTCCTTGTCCGAGTGCATGCGTCCCCAGAAAAATTTTTGTGAGGGGGAAATTAAAGCTTATGCTAAAAATGGTACATTCAAGGCTGGGAATTGGGGGGGGAAATGTCACACGAGAGATCACAGTGTGGAACGGGTTCCAAGCATGGGAGCATTTTGGTTCATGTGTCTCTGAGTGGGTACAGTGCCAGCTGCTCTCGAAGGTGGTTGGGCTCTCGGGTGGCATCTCTTCAACGCGACTGCTCCGACACTGACCCGCAGCCACTGAGCCCGCCGGGGCTCGGCCACCAGCGGTCACCGGCTCCGGGAGCTCCGTGTCCCCCTGCGCCGGGGGCCGCGGCTGCTGCTACCGGGGACACACCGGGCCCTGAGGACACGGCGGGACACGGGACACAGCGGAACACGGGACAAAGCCGGACACGACGGGACACAGCGGGACACGGGACAAAGCCGGACACGACGGGACACGGGACACAGCGGGACACGGGACACAGCGGGACAAAGCCGGACACGGCGGGACAAAGCGGGCCAGCCGGAACAGCACCCCCGGCTGCCTCAGCTCCCGCCCCCGGCCGTGCCCATTGGCCGCCGCCACCCTCGGTCCCGCCCCCCTCCCGCCTCCTCCCCCTCATTGGCCAATCATCGCGGCGTTCTCTCATGATTGACAGTGCCGTTGCCGCCCCGCGAGGGGCAACGTGGCATACGCCCGCATCCCGCCCGGCCGGAAGGTGCTGCCTTCCCCCCCCGTGGGACCCTCTTGGTCGCGCCCGGGCGGGCGGAGCGGGCGGGCGCGCGGCGCGGGCGGTACCAAGCCGCGGCGCGGGCGGGGGTGCGCGGCGGGCGTGGCCGGATGCCGGCGGCGCGGCGGGCGCTGTGGCCGGGCTGCGAGCGGCGCAGGATGAAGGTGCTGGTGGCGGCGGCGGCGCTGGGCGCGGCCCTCCTGCTCCTGCTGCCCGCGGCCTCCCGCGCCGACGAGCGCAAGAAGGGACCCAAGGTCACCGCCAAGGTCGGGGGGGGCCGAGGCGGGGCCGGCGGGGGGATTGGGAAAGGCTCGGGGGGCAGAGCCCGCGTGGGGCGGGGGGCCCTGGAAGGGTCCGGGACGGGCAGGGTGGGGCAAGGCCGGGGGGAGGCAGGGAGGGAGGCAGGGAGGGGCGGGCGCGGGGCCCTGAAGGGGGAGGCGGCCCCGCCACAGCTCGGCCCAGCCCGGGCTGCAGCTGGGGTGAGTGGTGAGGCTGCCGGGGGGATGCAGCCGGGGGTGTGGGCACCGACCACCCGCACCTGGTGAGGTTTTGGGCCTGGGTGGAGTTGGTGCCTCGGACTTTCGGGGTGGGTTGGCCCAGCAAGGTGAGTCTGACTCACCTGATCCCCCCAACCTTCCTCCGCCCTCCCCCAAGGTGTTCTTCGACCTGCGGATCGGTGAGGAGGATGCGGGCCGTGTCGTCATCGGGCTCTTCGGCAAGACAGTGCCCAAGACGGTGGAGAATTTCATGGCCTTGGCCACCGGAGAGGTGAGGGGCCCGCGGCGCCCTGGGCCTGCCCTGCTCGGGTCCTGCCCTGGGGCAGCGCTGGGGGCACGGAGCTCTGCTCTGTCCCTTCGCCTCACTCCATCTTCTCCCTCCACACCCCCAGAAAGGATTTGGCTTCAAGGGAAGCAAGTTCCACCGTGTGATCAAGGACTTCATGATCCAGGGAGGAGACTTCACCCGCGGCGATGGCACTGGAGGTAACTTGGCAGATCCAAGCTGCTGTCTGGGAGTGAGACAGCAGCCGCACTTCATCCACTGCAGGGCTGTGCCTGCGACCAGTGTAGAGCTGGAGCTTGGTGGAACCAAGTTGGCATGGAGCTCACAAAGACATGGCCTCAGAGCAGAGCAGAGCTGAGTGCTGGGAGCCTCCTGCCCTGGTCCCTTGGCGTGACACCCCTGCCCAGCCCCTGGAGTGCTTCCCCCAGGCTCATGTATCCCTGTGGCAGCAGTGATAGTCCCTGCTCTGGAATTGCTCATTCCCCCACCCAGCTCGTGCTGGAGCTGCCACCATCATCACCCCTACCCCAACATATTCCATTAAACCACTTTGGCCTTTTTGTCCCTACTTCTAGGAAAAAGCATCTACGGGGACCGTTTCCCTGACGAGAACTTCAAGCTGAAGCATTACGGGCCAGGCTGGGTGAGCATGGCCAACGCTGGCAAGGACACCAACGGCTCCCAGTTCTTCATCACCACCGTGAAGACGCCGTGGCTGGACGGGAAGCACGTGGTGTTCGGCAAAGTGCTGGAGGGAATGGTGAGGGATGGCAGAGGGAAAGGGGTCGGTGCTCCGGGGAGAGCGGGACTGGGCAGGGCTTGGCCGAGCTGGCTCTGCCCACGTGTCCCACTCTCACACTCTGCTCCACCAGGACGTGGTGCGGAAGGTGGAGAGCACGAAGACAGACAGCCGGGACAAGCCCCTCAAGGACGTCACCATCGTTGACTGTGGCACCATCGAGGTGGAGAAGCCGTTTGCCATCGCCAAAGAGTGACGGGACCAGGCCCTGCCAGGCTGTGAGGGGCTGTGGGACGGGGCTGCTGTGCTTCCCCTGCCCTGGGGCCACCGGCTCCTGCAATGTCCCAGCGCCCGGCCCCTCTCCCTGCTGCCTCCCAGCCAGTGGGACAGGGCACAGGCTGCTCTTCCATCACTTTTGTAAGAAGCACATGCACCAATAAATGTGACCAATGTGTTTTTTAAACAGCTGACTCTCTCCTGCCTTCGGAGGGGTGCAGATCACTCTGCATCCCCCACCCAGATGCACCCCTCTCAACCTTCGCGCCCCACTTCCAACCTTGCTTCTTCCACATCTCATCCAGCTGGGAGCAGTGGCACAGCTGGCCCTGGGTTTGCTTTGCAGAATTCCACAGCACAGCACTTTGCCAGTCAGTCAAATCCAGGAGATTTATTGCACAAAAGCCTGGATGCAGAGAGGTTTCCAGCACCATTCAGCATCCAAAGGCTCATACTGCAAGCCCAGAACAGCAGGGGGGAAGGCAGAACTCCTGCTCTGCCAACAAAGGCACTTTGCATGGTGGTGAGAGAGCAATTCCCAACATCCCTTTGGCTTCTCCCACCATTTCCCTACCCCAGCCCGGCAGGGAGGAGTCAAGGATCCTTTTCTATCACCACTGCATCCCTGGGTGCTGGGTGGAACTCATCATTCCAGAGGCTTGGGGTGCTGCTGGCCAGGGAGCAGCTCAGGGGGAGGTAGAGGCCCTGCAGCACCCCGCTGACGACGGTGTTGGGGAGCAGCTCTGTGAGGAAATGGGGGTGCTGCAATAGCTGTTCCCTCCTGGGCCCCGTTAAAGGAGAAGCACCTTCACAGGGCCCAGAAGAGCCTCTTGGAGGTTTTGGAGATCTGCTCCACAGTTCTGCTCCTTACCAGTGCCGTGAGGCCGCACGTAGGGATCCCAGCAGAAGCCGACAATGGGGCGCTGGGAGGGCAGGAGTGTGGTGCTGCTGTGGAAGAGGGGACATCAGTCCTCAGCCTGCCCCCACCATCCCCACCCTCTGTACCCAGGGTGCCTCCACAGGGGTAACCCAGGTGCCAGCAGAACTCATCTACTCACAGGGGGCTGCTGGCCTTGGGGTGCTGCTGGCACCACCGCACCTTCAGGAACTCCAGGATTTCCTGGGGCAGCTCCTCATTGTCATCCAGCACACCCTGCAATGCTCCAGGGGGTTCAGCACCCCAGAAAACCCCTCCCAAACCCACCACCGTGTGTTCCTCAGCCCTAAAAACTCACCCTGAATCTGCCATACACTCCTCACCTGCAGGTAAACCTCCAGGCCCTGCCGGCGCTGCTCCAGCCCTTTGGGCATCCACCTGGAGACATGGTGTGCGGGGAAGTTGGGGACCTTGCAGGTCTTCTTGATCTGGGGAAGAGTGTGGGGGGATCAGGGCAGGCCAGAGGGGATGAGGCCAGGCCCCCCATGTCCCCTCCCTGCAGAGCTGGGGGCTCTCACCTGCTTGTGCAGTGCCTGGAACTCGCTGTAGCGCTTGGTCACCGTGTGCCGCCGGCCATTGCACAGCACCTCCACCCGGAACACCTGTGACGGGGACAGGCAGCGAGTCCTCCTCACCAGCCCCAGCCTCATCATCTTCATCATCCTCACCATCCCTCATCATCCTCACCATCTTCATCATCTTCATCACCCTCACCATCCTCAGCCTCACCATGCTCATTGTTCTCACCATCTTCACCATTCTCATCATCCTCACCAGCCCCAGCCTCACCATCCTCATCATCTTCACCATTCTCATCATCCTCACCAGCCCCAGCCTCACCATCCTCATTGTTCTCACCATCTTCATCACCCTCACCATCCCTCATCATCCTCATCAGCTCCAGCCTCATCATCTTTACCATTTCCATCATCCTCACCAGCCCCAGCCTCAGGACCCTCACCACGCTCATCAGCCTCACCATCTTAATCAGCCTCCCAGGGGAGGTAGGGGCTGCTAACTCACACGCCTGTGGAGAGCACTTGGGACACTTCACCTCCACTTCTCTAGGACAGGCAGAGACCTCCATCCCCCAGGACAGACCCCCAACACCCCCATGGCCAATGGGGCACCATGGGACCAGGCAAGACCCCCAGAAGCAGATGGGACACAATTCTCCCCTCCCAAGGGGAAGCTGTGACATCCCAACCCCCACCAAACCCTGCCAGGCAGTTGGGACCCTGGGGCTGCCAGGGACCCCCAACACCTTGGGGTGTGCAGGGGCACCAGGAAGGGGCACATGAGGACCTCAAACCGACGGGACAGAGGGAGATGACCCATCTTTCCCCAAGACAGGTAAGGCCCTCTACCCAGCGATAGTCATGGATCTCCACCCTCCTGGGGAAGGCAGGAGAACCCCTTCTTTCCCCACACAGCCAGGGGTCCCCCCACTCCACTCCCCAGGCCAAGGACAGCTCCTGCTTTCAAGGGTGGGTCCCTGCAGACAGACAGGCATCTCCATCCCACAGTGCCACAGAGAACCCCCCAGGCCAACGTAGAAGGGCAGAGGATCCACCTCAGACCCACGTCAGAAAGGAACGCTGTGGGGATCCCTGCCCAGCACCCCCTGGGCCAGGGACCCCCATCCCCTCCCTGTCAAGGGCTTTGTGTCCCCTCCCAGAAAGGAATCCATGAGGACAGTTGGGGACCTCTCCTCCTCAAGGCAGATGGTCCCATCTGCTCCTCTCTCCCCTTGCCTCCTCACTCACCCACACAGTTGGGACCCTGGGAGGAGGTAAGGGCTGCTGGGAACCCCCCAAGCACTTGGAGCATGTGGGGACACCCTGGTGGGCACATTAAGACCCCCACATCCTCCACCATCCAGGGCAAGCAGGCACCCTCGTGCCCAGGGTAGAGGGGGCACCCAGACACAGACAGGGACCCAACACCCTGGCCAGGGGCCATCCTTGCCATTGCAGGTGTAAAGTTCTCACAGGGACCCCTCAGGGGCACTTGGATGCTGCACTCCTGGGGGAAGGACACAGCCCCATCCTGGCTGCACAGGGATATGACAAGGACCCCATGGGAACAGAGAAGACACCCTCAACAGTGATGCCCCTTCCCCACCCCTTCCAGGGGTAGAGGATCACTGTCTGTCCCTCCCTCTTGCCCCAGCAGGGATCCTCTGGATTCAGGCAGGGACAGCCACTCCTGGGCATTTGGGGACAGAGGGGAGAAACTTGGAGACATCCCACCCCCAGGGCAGATGTGGGACACACATCCCTGGGGAGGATGGGGGTACCCAGGGATAGACAGGGACCCCGTAACCCTCTGGGGTCAGAGGGGATTCCCAGGGTAGAGGAGCACCCCCAGAGGGTGGCCCGTGGGCTACCCCTGGGACAAGTGGGGTTCCTCAGTCCCCTCAGTCCCTGACACACATGGAGACCCCTCCCGAGCAGGGGGGGATCCCATGGAAGCAACAAGACAAGAACCCCAGAACAGAACCCCGGGGAGGGACAGGAAGAGCCTCCAACCCCTGGGGCAAGTGGAGGCACCCCTGGGATGTGGGAACCCCGGGGACAAGGCAGGACCCTGCACCGCCAGGATGAGAGGGAAGCTGCAGGACAGAGACACTCCCGACTTCCAGGGCAGAACGTGCCCCCAGCAGGGACCCAGGGCAGGCAGAGACCCCTGGGGCAGGCAAGGACCACCCAGGGATACTTGAGGACCTCCAACCCTTGAGGCTGGGACACTTCAGGGTCGTCTGGGGGAACGAGGGGACCTCCAGTCCCAGAGCAGGTGGGGTATCCCGGGGAAGGAAGGGAACCCCCAGCCATGGGGGACACAGGGACCTCTCCCCTTTCAAAGGTAAAGGGTCTGTGCTCCCTCCCGGCTGGGACCCTCCAGGGACACGCACAGCCCTCCTGCCCCGTGGCTCTCCAGCCCCGTAGCCCTCCCCCAGGCCAAAATAATCTCACCTTGCCCACATCCCCATCCCCTCCTTCAAGGACAATGGGTCCCCATCGGCAGCGACCCCTGTGCGGATCTCCGGTCAGGGACCCCGCTGTGTCTGTCGGGGGCTCTCCCAGGGGTGCCTGGGGACACCCCCACGCGGGGACAGAGGACAGTGCTCGGGGACAAACAGGACACGGGGGAGGTGGAACACGGGAGCCCTCCCGTCCCTGGCTTAGGGTGGAATCACCGCAGGGCAGGGACAGACGCCTGGGGAGAGGCAGAAACCAGCCCCCGCAGGCAGCGGGGACAGCGGCAGGCAGGGTCCCGCACCCCCGGGCCAGAGGAGGCAGCGGGTCCGTGTCCCTCGGCAGCGACCCGCACTCCCGGGGCACGTGGAAGATTCCTGGAGCGGAGGGAGACAAATCCCCGCGGGCGCACAGGGTGACCCCCACGGGAACCCGGGGCCGCCTGCCGTGCTGGGGCAGCTGGGACCCCCGGGGAAAGGCAGGACCTGCACTGCCGGGCGGGGGACACGCGGGGACAAGCGGCGACCCGCAGCTGCCGGGGCAGGAGGAGCCACCCGCGCCCACCCTTCCCTGCGGGCGGCCGAGCCCGCAGCCGCGCGGCGCCGACCCTCACCGTGTGCGCCCGGCCGGGGCTGCGCGGGGGCTCCGCCGCGGCGATGGACACGGCGATGGACGCGGCGATCATGGCCCGGGGCTCGGCGGGGCCGGGAGCGGCGGCGGGAACGGCGGCGGGAACGGGAACGGCAGCGGCGCCGGGGCCGGGGCGGGACCGCCCCGGGCGCCCATGGCGGGGCACGGCACAGCCCCCGGCCAGCCCGGCACAGCACAGCCGGGGGAGCAGCGGAGGCGCCGCGGGGACCCGGTTTACAAGGATAAGGGGAAAGGAAAGAGGGAAGTCAGCCCAAGCTGCCTTTTCTCTTCTTTAGCGGGTATCGGTTTTGATAAAACGCACACGCGAGGCTGGGAACGGGGGAAGGGGCAAAGCTACCCCCGGTAAGGGTCGGGGGGTAGGAGCACCACAGCCCCGAGAGCTCCACCATGGATTTCTGGGGAATGCCACGAAGTGGGATTGCTACAGAGCCTCACTGGGCTCGGACCCTAAAAACGGCTTCCACTGAAGGAAAGGCAGACAGCCAAAGCCTAATCAAGAGCGAGGACAGGTGGCCAGAGCAGCGTCCAAGGTCACCTCTGTCCGTCACAACACGGGGGAGGCTCTGCTGCTTCCCTCGGCTGCCACGGGATCCACCGTTACCCCTCCCCACTCCCACCCTGAACACCCAGAGCCTGTTTGCCCTGATAGAAGTTTTATTACAGAACTTTAATGGCACTGCAGGAGTAAGATAATTCATTAGAGCCTTAAAACCCAGCCTGAAAAATAGATATTTGCCAGATCTTATTAACCCCCTGTGGCTGCAGGTCTGATCTGGAAGCAGGAAACTAGTTTCTCTTCAGTAAGAAAATATATGTTGCTAAATGAAAAATATACAGTTAGAAGAGTTACTGGCTCGCAAGCTGTTCTTCTGGGGGTGCCACCTCTACCAGCTCCAGCATGTGGAACGAGGGGTCGCTCACGTGGAAAAGAGGAGGAGGTATAGTGTATATAAAAAAAAAAAAAAAAAAAAAAGGCAAAATTCAGGTTTGTTTGCTCAGTCCAATTAAGAAATGGCCTTGGCTTCAGGCAGGAACGCTTCCCAGTACTTCACCAGCTGCAGGGAGGAGAGGGAGAGAGTCAGGAGCCTTGAGGATGGAGCTGTAGTGCAGGGGGTCATGCTTGAGAGTCGCAAGCATGGCCTGAACTGGGACATAAAACCACATCAGGGACCACTCACCTGCTGCTGAGAGTTCAATAACGTCTCAAGGTATTTCGTGACGTGGTTTCTGAAGTCCTTAGATTTCTCTTTCTGCAAGAGAAGGCCATGAGGCTGGACCAACCACCAAAACCCTCTAGATTTTGGGAGGGGGAAGGAGAAACCACCAGGATTTTCCTGTTCCTCCTGGGGTCCCATGAGGAGACCAGCATATGGGGCACAGAGGATCTCTGCCCACCCAACTTTAAGATTCCCTGTGGGGAAGTCCCCTCAACCAAAAGCCCTCAGCAACACTCCAGCTCAGTCAGGATTTAGGGATGCTGCTGTGGCAGGAGGAGGGGCAGGAGCCCAGGTCAGTGCCAAGGGCTGCCCTCCACGTACCTCAAACCGTATCACTTCCTTGCGGATGACGGCAGAAATGCGCTCAAAGTCCCTTTCGTACTGTGTCACCCGGGACTCCCACTGCAGAGACAGGAAGTGCAGCTGGGGACAGGAGAAGGAACTCCTGCCCCCCTCTCCATGGGGGCCTGGAGCCACGACTGTACGTGTGGGAGGTGCTGCTGGAGCAGAGCTCAGTCCTCCCAGCCCTTGTCACCACTGTGGCATGGAAGGCACAGGAGGCAGGGCCACCAGCAGCCCCTCCTGCAGCCTCACTCAAGGATGGCTTAGCCCTTGGGGCAACTTGGCCACAGACACCCGTCCCTCCTGCTCAGGAGGTGTCCCCCAGCCCAGAAGGTTCCTTCTCCAGCCCAGAAGGTTCCTTCCCCAGCCCAGAAGGCTCCTTTCCCACTGAAGCATGAGGGCAGGAACAGAGCAGCTCCGTTCTCTACCTCCGAGATCTCATCCTTGGCCTGCTGCAGCTTGTCGGGTTTGTTTGCCCACAGCAGCCTGGCCTCCATCTCCCTCTTCTTCTGGAGCATGGTCTGGGCATCCTGCCACCGCTGCCAGGTCTTCATGCGCTGGTCAAAGGCTCCCTGGAGGGAAGGAGGGGCAGAGATCTCCTGACAAGGGGACACTGGAGGTCCTGGACCAAAGCTGAGCCAGAACACAGACTGGCTCCTGCTCTGGAGCATCCACAGCTCCTGTATGGACCAGTGGACCAAGGATATGGTGGTCTGGCCATTGGGGCAGGAAGGGGTCAGCCTGCTGGACTTGCTGCTCCCATGGGATTGCTTTTTCCCAGTGCACTGGTTGGGCTGTGTGGACTTGACGCTCAAGTTTAGGAGCACTCAGCACTCAGGCTCTGCACCAGCAGGCACTTGGCAGGTCAGTTTTCACCCCCTGTATCACAGGTTACCAGTTCACAGCTTCAGCCTTCACCTCTGGAAGGGTTGGGGTCACCCACAAGCCATGAACTTGCTCCACATCCCCTCTGGAGAACAGCAGCATGGCCAAGCCTCACCTACAACCATTCTCCAACCTAACCAGTGCACACCTGGACAGTCAGCAAGTCTTCCCTCTGCCTGAAGGGGCCACGCCCTGCATGCCCTCTGCTCTGTCCTGTGCTCAATTTGGAAGACCTTCAGGCATCCCTAAGCCTACGATGGGTACGAGGAGCAGGAGCAAAGGAGTCCTTACCCTTACAACCGAGAGCAGGCGGATGTAGTCCCCCAGGAGCTCGGCCAGGAGGAAGAAGTCATTGTTAGCCTGTTCATGGTGCAGCTGCTCAATCTTCTCCTCCACCTCAGCCAGCTGGGACAACGCCCGGGACAGGGCCGTGTTGTCCTCTGAGCTGCCCAGCATGGCCAGACTCTTGGCAAACTGGGCCGTGTTCAGTGCCAGCTCTGGGGAACGGGAGGAGGGTCAGGAGATGGGCCTGGCTGCACCAGGAGCTCCCTAGCAGAGGGTTCAGCTCCAGGAGATACCAGCTGGAAGAGCCAGCACTGGCTCAGTCAGAGCTAGCAGCTTCCAGCCATGAGGAAAAGGGAAGCAGCTGAGCAGGACAGGCACAGCTTTGCAGAAGTCAGTCAGAACATGCAGAGGAAGGAAAACATCCCCACTCCCAGAGGTCAGCTCTGCTCAGGTTTGCTACTGAGCCTTCTGACCCATAGGCTGAGGGAATGAGGGTTGATCAGCCTGCAGAAGAGAAGGCTCCAGAGAGACCTCAGAGCCCCTGCCAGTGCCTAACAGGGCCCCAGGAGAGCTGGAGAGGGACTTGGGACAAGGACCTGGAGGGACAGGACAAGGGGAAATGGCTTCCCCCTGACAGAGGCCAGGGATAGATGGGATATTGGGAAGGAATTCTTCCCTGTGAGGGAACTGTCTGAGCAAGCTGTGCAAGGGCCTCAAACTGTGGCTGCCCCATCCTTGCAAGTGCCTGAGGCTGGACAGGGCTTGGAGCAACCTGGGATAGTGGAAGGCATCGCTGCCCATGGCAGGAAGGGGTGGAACAAGATGGACTTTAAGGTCCCTTTAGCCCCCAAGCCATCCTGGGATTCTGTGATCCCACAGGACACAGGTTCCCTTCCACACTACCATCCCAAGCTTGTGGAGCTGGACAGAAGAACTGGAGCGACCATTGTACATCTGTCTCCCAGAAGGAAGGGACAGAGAATCCTTTCTGGCACTGTCCCAGCTCCCTGGAAGTGTCCCTAGGACACTGGTGAGCCCCTCCAGGCAGGGCCCAGGGGGGCTGTCCCAGCCCAAATTCCGGAACGCGCGACGCTGTCCCGGTCACCTTTGCGGTGGTTCACCAGCGTCTCCACCACAGCGTGCAGCTTCCGCAGCCGCTGGTCCTCGCACTCCACCTCCTGCAGCTTCTCCTCGAACCACTGCAAGGGGTAAATGCAGAGCTGATTCCCACAGGTGGGGCTGGAAGAGCTCTATGGAGCTCTGGAGCAAGGACAGGGACGGCCCAGAGGTGCCCCGACACTTACGATGTCTGACTCGTTCATCTTGATGGTCATTTTGCTGACAGCATCCGTGGCTTTGTTGAACATCTTCATTATTCCTGCTCCACTCAGGGTCTGGGTTCCTACTGCTCTTGGGAGCTGGAAAGGAATGGAACAGTTTGCTTTGCTGTAGGAGACAGAGCCAGGCTGGGAGAGCTGAGGGGGTTCACCTGGAGAGGAGAAGGCTCCAGGGAGACCTCAGAGCCCCACTGAGTGTCTAAAGGGGCTCCAGGAGAGCTGCAAAAAGGGACTCTGAACAAGGCCTGGAGTGACAGGACAAGAGTAAATGAGTTTCCACTGCCAGAGGACAGGGACAGATGGGATATTGGGAATAAATTCTTAGCTGTGAGGGTGATGAGCTCTGGCACAGGTGTGGCTTCCCCATCCTTGGAAATGTCCAAGGCCAGTGGATGAGGCTTGGAGCAACCTGGGATAGCAGCAGGCGTTGCTGCCATGGCAGGGGGTGGAAAGAGATGGGCTTTTTAAAGTCCCTTCCAGCCCAAGCCATTCCATGATCCTGTTTTGCCCATGAGGTAACTGCTGAGTGATCTCTCCCTGCCCTTACCTCAACCCACAAGCCTTTTGTTTGTTTTCTCCCTCATGTCCAGCTGAGGGGATGGCTCAGCAGCTTTGGTGGGCACCTGGTACCAACACCAGCTCCCAGTCTCACAGGTTCTGCCACTTCCCACTGAACTTTGTGGGATCCTGCCTCATTAACTGCTCAAGAACCATTTCCTTCAGCACTTCCAAGGACACCTTACTCCACCCCACTGACCTCCTCCTTCTCCAAGAACTCCCTGACGTCCGGGTCCTGCAGCATGGTTGGATGGCTGACCACTCTCCGTAGGTACCTGTGGGAGGAACAACTCCAGGAGTTACTGTGGCTGTAGCAAATCCAGCTCTGAGCCATCACAGCAATACACACTGGCATTTACTCCAGAACAGCAGCTGGGGGGCTGGAAATCAGAGCCAACAACTGTTCTAATTCACCCACCAGTTCCCCTATCTCCCTGGGGAATTTGGTGATGCCACCACAAAGAACAGACCTGCCAGACCTCCCCGAGGTCCCTCACTCAGTTCAGGGACA